TACTGCCCGGTGCTGATTTCTTTCATGTGCAAGTGAAAGTGATCAGATCTAGATCTAGATAGAGCTTAATATACAACTGTTTATATATGTGTTGTATAGATCTGATCAATATTAAGTTTCAGTACCTGGTGATCATGAGGCAAGACCCAGAATCAAACGCTCTATGAGGACTTCTTGAAAACTGGTGGCCACTGGCGCAAAGGTTTGATTTGGCGAGAAGTGGTGAAGCGCCACAAGGGCATTTCACGGGGAGTTCGGAAGTGGCTCACAAGGGCCCAAATGATCTCACACTTTGGGGATGAAACAACAGCAGATGCAGTGATCACCCGGAAGGCAAGCCTCCCCGAACTTGCCGATGAAATCCGGGATCATCCAGAATTGCCAGGTACCAAATAGTGTTTAGATAATAATGCAAGCCCCATCCAGATCCCTGTCTCCTGCTGCAGGCCTCAAGCAATATCTCATCTTGGTCGAGGATGAAGAGGTGCAGGAGGAAGAGGACCTTGTAACGGACTTGTTTAGGACGCAGGATGCTGGGAGCAAATCGGATTCCAGCTCGAGCAGTGAGTCTGAATCATCAGAAAAGAAAAAGAAAAAAAAGAAAAAGGGTGCCAAGAACAAGAAAGGAAAGAACAGCGCAAACAAGAAAAAGAAAAAGAAGGGTAAGAAGGGTAGGAAGGGTGAGGATGAGAAAACTGATGAAGAGACGAAGAGCAAAAGAGAAGCAAGAAAAGAAGCAAACAAGGCAGGTCCCATTAATAATTGTTGTATATGTGCACTATATCGATCAACGTCTATATCATAAAATTTAGGATCTAGATGAAACTGATCTTCAAATTCCAATCTCTTGTGGAGGTCCTTTCAGCGATGACTTCAAAGATCAAAAAGGCTCATGAGATCAAGAACAAAGCTTCCCAATGGTGTTGGCCCCAACAGTCATGCACATGATCTAGCACGATACAGGGATTTCAGAGCTGGCCTGTGTAATTTAATTACTTCACTCATCCCATGACCAGGTCCAAGAATGTGAGGGCAGCCCTTGAGAAGGACATTGATGATCTGCTCAATAAGCTGGGGTCTGGACGAGCCGAACTCCAGACTGCATTGGAATCTGGCGTTGAGGTGACCGACTGTGTGATGTGTCAGTGGGGATTAGCTGTATATTCATGTACAAAATCGTTTGTTGGATCTACTGGTGATCCTTGTAGGACTTGGGCCACAAGGCTTTTCACTCTGGGTTGAAGCTGCTTCAGATCGCACTGAATATATAAAATATATAGGATGATCTAGATCATATACGTTGTGGGCAGGTACCAGAGATGGAGAAGATCACCCAGCGCAGCAAAAACCTGAACGAGCATGCAGACACAGTCATGGAGCCACTGAGTGGTAAAAAGCGGAAAACATCCGATTAGTTTCTAGATCAGCAGTTTTGTGGTCGCCATGGATCTAAATAAATGTGTTCATCCTTGTGGTTTTGGCGAAACAGCTGATCATGATCGTGACTTCCCTGGCCACCTCCTAGACCACGTGCCAGTCAACAGACAGTACTTCAGGTCTGAACTAGCTCAGAAACAATATACAATATATATATATATATTCCGATAGACACTTGACACGTGGCAGAGGCGGCGGTTGTTCATGAAGTAGGGGCATATGGCATATGACAAACTAGCTCAAATGCATCGGAGCAAAACAAAGAGGTGCACCTTCGCGATTTGCTGATGCACCTGGTTCTTCACATGTGCATGTTCCAGAAATGCCCTTGTACGTTCATGCTCAACCAGCGCAGGTGAAGTTGCTGATGATCAAGATCGACAACACCAGCTCAACCATGTGCTTGATTCAGTGGCTGCAGGGGTTGGCTGCCTAGTCATTGCATTGCATGCTGAGATGTTTTTGCGGGAATCGGAACGTGGATCTCATACCCCCACCAAGAAAAATATCCCAGTCCCAGGCCTCCATTGAGGAGAAGATGTCTGACCTCAACGCACGGGTCAAAGCCACTTGGCACATGTCAACCAACCTTGCAGGTGTGAAACCCTGCGATTTTCAGAGCTAGATAGATCTAGATCTAAGGACACTCCTCAAGGGTGACCTGAGATGATACGCAAGCTAGGCAGCTACAGCGTTCACAATCGTGCCCGCGACTTTCGACGTGCTCTACAGTTCAAGTCTTTGGACTGGGTGGCAAATTTTTTTAAGGTTTAATGTACATGTACTTGAACCTGATTCGGATAGTCATAGAGTGGCTTAACCCGGACCCAATTTTTGTGGAAACTCCTGTGAAATCAAAGCTTTCAGGCGACGATGTGACCAAAGTAACCCGCAAGGTGCCGGTATTCCTCCCAGAAACTATTCTGACATATTTGATGGGGCCCCTCAATCTGGTCATCGAGGATGAAGCTGTGGAGAAGTTTTGGGACCATGCAAGAACATTTAATTGTCCATGGAAAGATGTGTCACCTGGCCACCATCAACCATTGGGACTATATGGAGATGCAGCAAAATATTCACCTGGGACAGAAAATCATTGGGTATTTTGTCAACCTGGTCCTTTGGACACCGAAGTCATCTAGAATGTCCAGGTGGTTACTTTTCTCATTAGAGAATGATGAGTGTTTGGGGCCTGAATCTCTCAACCCTCTCTTTGCGGCCATAGTGAGATCTTTGCAGCGGTGCTACAATGGCATCATGATCGAAGGCAAGACCATGCATTTCAGCGTAGTGGAGCTTCGGGGCGACTGGGAGTGGCATGTTTACTCTCTTGGGTTGTTACGATCGTGGCGAGCGATCAACTTTTGTTGGAGATGTGATGCAAGCAAAAACGATGAAGACACTACATACTGGGACCTATCTGATGATCCAGGATGGGCACGGACAGAAAAAACAGAGTTGCAGTTCATTGCCACCATGGTTTCTCCAAGTCATCCCAGACACCCAGACTTAGATGTGGAAGATGTTCATGTTTTCCCCAAAAGTCAATAGTTTTACACATAGATTGAGCTCTTTTTTGGGTGGGATGCGAAAGGGACCCAGGCCCATTGTTGCTCCTGCCCCACTTCACCTATGGGATGCTACGACACTGTAGCTTACACAATGTCAACTTGGGGATTCTGGCTACTGCAAACGGAAGCTCATTGAATCTTGATCGGGCCAGTGCTAATGTTTTTGATTGGCTTGGATTCCCGTATACTTGTTTTAAACCGGACCATATATATATATATATATTTAAGGGCACTTGGCACTTGGCCGAGGCTATTGCTCATTGACCTTGGCTTCTTTGGTGATGTGGAGGCCTTAACGCTCCGCCAATGCCTTGCGGTTGCGTACAAGGACTTCAGGATTTGGTGTCGTCTCAACAAAGTTAAATGTGGACAGCAATTGTTCAGAGAATCAACCGTTTCTTGGCCTGTTGACGTGCATCATGATATATATTTAAGATCTAGTCGCTTTATGTAAAGTCACTCTTGTAATCCTAGGTTTGGTCTACAAGTTCTGGGGCTTCTATGAACTGCAAGGGCTATTGCTCTCGAGTGATCCCAGCGTGGCTTTCTAGTTGCCTGAACATTGCATTAAATAGAGCTGTGCCTGCCAGCCGGTTCTGTGGAGCATGGATTCAATCAAGAGTTGAAACCCATGAGGGGACTTGGCCCAAACATGACATGTTGGAGCCCTCCGCTGTTTGCATGCACCCCAGCTGGATTGAAATGATTTTTTCATTGGGGTGGAAAGAAAAAACTATATTATTTTATTGGATCTGTTAGTGTACCTCTTTTTCCCAGGGCCCAGTGCTGCTCTTTCATGCACAGATCTGAGGGATGCACTGAATCGATTCTTTTTGTCTATGGAGTCGGCAGGGCGGTACCTGCAACATGGCAGCACGCTTGAATCCTACAAAATATACATCTGCTCTTGCTTTATAGACCTTGGTATCTGAACAGAGGTCTAGATCAGAGGCTGAATCGCTCTATTCTTATGGGATGAAATTCCTTCGAACACATCGGCTACTCACAGCAATGAGCCAAAGGCACAACCATGGAAATTGATGTGACTACCGTTGTGATTTTTACCTTTAAGTCCATATTGAAAGCCTTGGAGGCACAATCTCCTCTTCTGGTTGGGTAAACCCAAAATCCACGATACTTGGAATGCACCTGCAGGTAGGCCAGGTGCCCGTGTAGATCTGACAAGCTACATGCTGATGCTGCTGTGTTTGTGAGTGGGCGCTAAGAAATTTCACCATCAGTTGATCGACTGCTACCGCCGTCGTCCCTTAGCTGATTAGTTTCAAGTGTGCAATATAATTGAGTCTATTTTGACATCGCCCCATGCACTTTCCTTAAGGCTACTCGCCTAGATTTGAGCATACCTTCATAGACGAAGACCAGATGAAATGGTGCAAACGCATCTCAACTGAATTCTCTGGATCTGAAACATATAGTTTGGTGTACCCTTGACTTAATTCATGATCTAAGACCTGAACACCAAGGAATCTGCCAGCTGAGTGATCGGAGGGATCTTGCTCGGAGCATTGCCAAAAAGGCTCCATATAGATTGGTAGCCATGCGTTCCCATATGAAACGGTTGAATGAAATCAACCGGAGACGCGCTTGCAGATAACCCTGCAGACAAAAGGCAGGCGCACTTGATGATCATGTCAGCAGCCACTGGCTGCTGCTGGCTGCCGTCTTGCTGGGGCTGTTGGTGGAAGGGATGGAGTGAAAGGTTGTTGTTAAGTAAAGACTTGTCTTTATGTAAACGACATCGTTAAACTTTGGTGTTGGACTGAGTGGGATTGTTTTTCTTCAAGTTAATTGATGACTAATTCACCCGTGAACAACATGTAGCAACAGCGCACTCTCATCATGCCTGGTTCATTCTTCGGCAAGAGTAGGACTTGCTGATGTTTAGGATAGGACCATGATTGTCATCTCATCCAGCTAGCACATTCAATCACATGTTGTCTTTAAGCCTTTGGCCGAAGAAAACTCTGCCAGGAAGAGATGACCCAGCTTCGCAAGAGGAACATCCAGTTGTTCAGTCGTTGCTCCTGTCATTTGGATTTCACGCTTTCCATTCTGATGCTTTACCAATTCTGGGCTAGCCCTGGGCTGGACTCTGCAACCTGGGCGACTTGTTGCATGGTGGGCTACGCCGTCTCGCTCTTCACAGCTTTAACACTGGATTATATAGTGCTGACTCCGCCGCCCGGAGGAACTGTTGCTATTTTGGAGGTAAACAGTTTGATAGTAAACACTCTAAGGGTCCACAGCGCTTAAAGACACTTCGCATTTACTGGATGTGGGACATGAGAGTCAAGCATGTGAACACATTAGATATAGATGTGGTTGATAGGTTGATAACTTCAGTTGAGGCATCTCCTGGAAGTGATACTCTCCCGTTTTATTTTTGTTTATGTATCCCCCTAAAGGCTTTTTGTCTTTATGTTTGGTTCAGTTAGTTGACCCGGAAGATCAGATCCATAAGCAGGACACGTTAGCGATTCAAAGTTGTTTTGCAAACATGTGATTTGGACAGGTTACTGTAGCTGCGTAGAGGTGTTTGGCTTGCAATGTGATCCTGGGAATCTAGACTAAAATCATTATGAAAAAAAAACCTAAGATAGCCCGGGACTAAAATTGGCATCTCTTCTGTCATGGGACAGGTTAGCAGATGCATGTTGGGTCGTTTTTTGTTAAGCATTGTGAAACTCCGGTTATTCCCCTGGAAATACCGCACCAGAGCTGAACATGTTAGGGACTAGCCCCAAATGCACCCTGGGACATGTATATCTGGAAGAGTGTAGTCCTTTTTTTGCCAGCACTCAGGTGACTTCAATCTTCTCAAAGACTTTCAAGATTCGGACACAGGATTTGTGCGTCAACCACTCCTATAGTCAAGTTCTTATAAAGTTCCTTGGGTAGGAAGGTCTACTGCAAACATGTTCATTCAAGTTCGCCCGGACGAGCAAACAAAAATCCAACTGAACAAAATGTGTGGCTTGGAGAGTGTTTTCTTATTACTTTTTTCTGGACACATTTGCTGCAAAAGAGGACATTCCCATCTTGTAAGTCAAGCCTTTGAATCTTCCACGACTGTGCTACCTCAACCGAAACATCTCTCATCATAACCCTATTTGCATGGTGTGGAACCCACCCCGGTTTTCACCAAAGCCACCCGTTTTGCGGTTTGGGGTGGTCAGACGTGCCAGTTCAATGTCAGGCGGCTCACATACTTTTGCCATCTACTTGCACTTGCAGCCTTTGTCTCTACGGCTTACTCCGGTGCCAAGCAGCGATCAACGACGCAAGGCTTTCACTCTGCAGTACGCTTCTGCCTGGTGCTGGCATTCTTGGATCCCAAGATCACCATCCCTTTCCAAGTGCTTTACAGCCTCGTCGAGGTGCTTCTACATGTTTGTGTGATGGAGGAGGGCGATTTCTGGGTGCAATTGGGATCCTTTAGCTCGGGGCAAGTCCATATTTTGGTGGCAACCATTGCTTCCTCTATGTTCATCGATATGGGTCTTCGCGGGCTTATCTATGCACGGCTGGACACGGCAGATGCCGAGTCCTTGCTTTCGAGCTTCCGACGGGTCTTGAGAGGTGGGCTCACCCTGGAAGGAAACAAACATCAGAGCAAATGGATGCAAATGGACCATGTCGCAGGAATACGTGGTACGGTTACACTGTTTTTGCTGGCAAAGAAGAGTTTACATGAAACAGAATCCATCAAAATCCAATGTTAATGTTTGTTGTTGTTCTGTTTATCAGTCTTATCAATCATAATCCACATGTTCCCGGAGCCCACCACAAGCGACATTGTTTGAGACTTTCAGACAGGTGAAACATGGTGAAACCAAAAACCGCCCTGCACATGCGTTTGGTCTTACAATATACTCCATTCCCCTTGGACACAAACCTGGAAATACTGGGGGTGTTTCTGTGTTTCCCTCAGTGTCACGATAGATTCAGGTGTGTGTGACGGCGATGTGCTCTTGGACAGCCAGATGAATGTGGCCCAGGAAAGCCAATGCTTGAGACATCTCATACTCACGGATGTGAGTCTCAAAGGCAAGTCCTTCGAACACCTGCTGGTCGATGACGAGCAGCGCACTCGCTTTCGTGAGTTTGTTGAGGCTTCAAACGATGCTAGGTCGCACTGAACAGAACAATTTGGTTTGATGTCCTGGGCGACGCCGGCGACGCTTCTCAGGGTCATCAATCCCAAGATGTCATGAAGATTCATGAAGTAGGTCCTTGCTTGAGATACTCGATGAACCAATCGCAGGACACATTCCAGGTGCCACACGCCGGTTTCAGTGCACCTCCGGTGTGCTTGCGGGTGTCCTTGCGTAGCTCTGCAGGCATACGAGTGGCCACGGATATGTACCATGTGCCTGTTCCAGGCATCGGGGGTCGTCAAATGAGTCGTAAACAAACACATGTCACATGTTTGCAGTAGTATCATATATGATAAAACAAACATGAACTCAATATCTTTAGAGGGATGATAACATTTGTTTGGAAGCGTCATGGAATGTAGGTCGACATCCTGTTCGGTTGACATCCGGATCCCTGTTTCATCCTTGGAACATCTTGGAACTTGAAATTCAGGGTCTTGAAATTCAGATCTCACCCCAGAGTCGCAGGCCTTTTTGGCACCAATGACCCTTACCATCTTATCGCATTCAAAGAAGATCCCGAGTCCCGGCCGCAACCGGAAGCTGGGAAAGATGCTGTGCCATCAGTGCTTTTGCCTACTTTGAACGAAGGCCAGAGCCACGCACGATCCCTGCATGCAGACTCCAGGTCAATGCTGTCTGGAAGCACTGGAAAAAGTTATCAGCTTCCTTATTGTGCTGAATTGAAGGAGATGACCTTGCTCGTAGATGTTGACTCGGAGCTCCAGGATGTCACCGAAGCACATGTGAGGTTTCAGCGTGATGAGCCGCCCAGCGACCTTCCTGCTGCCTTGCAATCAACCATGCCCAGCTTGCGCAAGCTGGTGAAACCCACTGACTGGGAGAAGGTGCGGTCAAAAGCCATGAGGTTTACAGAGACTCACCGGCAACTGCCAGGGCCCCCGGAGCCAGGGGTGGTTAATGAGATGTCCCCCTTAGCCTCAGCCGGTATAACGTTAAACATCTCTTTTGGATTCTTTTGGGGGGCCCTGGTAGAGAGCTTTCGATCCACCGTTTTAACTTGCATGGTCAATTCACGTGTTAAGACGGAGTCCAACAAGTCGTCCATTCCATTACATGTGTCATTTATCATTGTTTATCCCGCGTCTTACTCTTTAATCGTATACACCGATAAGGAGTCCAACAGGTCTATGATTTTCCACTTCCAGTCCCGTTCATGTGAGGAAAGGAGTCTCCTTGATCCAACCATTCAGTCCCGAGTACTGAAACAGATGACTTTGCGATTGCCTGGGCATTCCGGTTGGCTGGTTGCAGAGCAAGCCGCCTTCAAGCGCTTCTCGAATGAGAATGTCCAGGGAAAGAAGGTCTGGCTGCATATGATGTGCTTTCGCCCGGAGAGGCTTCTGCGGCCGGGACCTCTCTCGAGCGACGCGGGCGGCTTGCGTTTTCGAGCTAGACCGAGTTCCGTGCAGTGAGGTGGAGTAGAGAGTTTCACCCCACCAGAGTTTGAATGTCTCTTGCTTTTTGTGAGTCTTCGGTTCGTTTTGCCGATGAATCAATTGATGTTGAATCGAATCTATTCCCGAGAAATGACACAAAGTGTCTCACTGCATGGTGGTGCGCGCCCTCCAACAGAGGGTTTGAGAGGGTTTTTAGGCCCCATGCTGACATGCGTCGAAGAAAGGAACAATCTCCAAACACATGTTGCCATCCATACACCGCTGCAAGTGATCTGCGGTGCGAAACATGTGCATCCCCGAAAACGCGCGCACAGTTCGCAAATGACAGATCTCACAGATTCGCCCATCGAAGCCTTGTTCCGACCACCGCAGGTTGCGAGGATCCGCCGATGAAGTTCGCCCAGCCGGAGGCCTCCCGGGGCGACTTCGACCCCAGCGAGGCGCACGAACCCGTGCGCCGTGGGGAGTGAGGGGTCCCCGTGCGCCGAGGTGAGGGGTTGATCGAACGGACAAGAGGCGACTCGTAGGGACGGAGGGAGTGAATTTTCTACAAGAGATGCCCAAAATTGGTATAGTTCTTATAGTATCTCATAGGATATCTTAGGATCCGTTCTCTTATTCAACCTTATTCCTTGATGAGCACGAGCTTGCGAATGGGGATGGAACCTGGGGAAGAATTCGCCCCATCACCTTTCACAGCTTGAATCATTGGAACTGGTCGGGTTTTTTAGAGTTTCACTGATCTGAAGGAGTTTTCATGTCCGGCCAGTTTGATTGGGGTCGTTTTCCATGGTGCCTAGTGGAGGTGGGACTTTTCAGTTGGGTGGTCCTGCTAAATTTGGTGGTATTCAGGCAATTGTTCAGCAAAACAAGTTGACAACATGTTGCAACAACTCTCACCTTGTCAGGGTAAATTGATCATTTGTTTCATGTTTCCTCCATTTGATCTGACGTTGCGCCGATCCTCTCGAGCCGCAGTGATCATCCCCTTTTGCATCGTGCACGCATGGCGGAAAAGACGGGCATCTTCGTTTCTTCTTAGGCACCTTCGTTTTCGACAGTGGTAACCGGAGCATTGGCTATGCCGAATCCAGGAGAAGCCTTAGGAGATCCGGACAGACGTGAAGCTGACCTTGACGACGATGAGGGGACGAGCACCGCGGCTGAGGTCAAAGGCAGAAGAGAGTGGACGGAAGAAGAGTGGAGAGAGTGGGATGAGCGATGGTGGCACGCTGGGCAGAGCGGTTGGTATGGCTCTCCATGGCGTGTCGAGCACGTGAAGGATGATGCAGGGGCAGCATCCACAGCACCTCCTCAGTCGAAGACGGACCCTCCAGATCCGTGGCAGCAGAGATCGTATGACCCATGGTCCAGGCGGACATCCGTGGCTACTGGACAAGCTGATCAGCACTTCCAAGGAGCGTGGTCGACCTGGTGGGCAGGGGGCTAGCAGTCCAAGGGGGACTATAGCGATCCTCCATCCTGGTCAGGTTGGAACAACTATAGGTTGTGGCGAAGGGCACTCCTTCGATGGAATGCAAACACCGACGTAGCCATCTGGAGGAGAGCTGAGAAGGTTCTCAAGACCTTGGACTGGGATCTTCAGGCCAAGCTAGATCATCTTACCGAGACCACTTTGTCCAGTCCGTCCTACCTCACCGAGATCCTCAGTGTTTTGGACATCCTCTCTGGGGAGAAAGAAGACTCTGACCGTCGGAGAGCGGTCCGAGCTGCCTTGTTTGAAGGCGCTAGGAAGCCAGACGAAGGACTGGCTCAGTACGCCTTGAGGAGAGAGTCCCAGTTTGAGCTCGCGAATCGGTATGTCAGCCTTCCGGAGGACATCAAGGGCATCCTTCTTGAAGAGCAGTCTGGCCTTCCCAGACAAGCGATGCAGAATCTTCGAGTCTTGACCAAGGGTCAGCACTCTTACTCTGAAGTGAAGAAGGCCTTGCAGATATTGGACTTGGATGAGGAGAGCATGATCAAGAGTGGCAAGACAAGCTACTTCGGTGGAGCTTCCGAGGTGGAGCATTCCGAGTCCGACATTGATGATGAGGAGATCTTCCTGGCTTTAGAGGCGCAGGAGGTCGACGAAGAGGAAGCTTTGTGCCTCATGGCCGACCTTCAGCAGGACCGAAAGAGAACCTGGAGGGAGAACAAGCTCTTGAAAGCCGCCAGGAAGAAGGACCGTCGACACTTTGACGATCGGAGCTCCAGGCCGAGCCGGCCATTCAACAGGAGAAAGATGTCCATCGAGGAGATCAAGAAAGTGACCTTCTGCAACAACTGCGGCAAGAAAGGTCACTGGCGAGAAGATTGTCCGGAACCACCCAAAGAGGGAACTCGCAAGAGTGTCGATAGATCAGTCAAGATGAACGCTTTTGCCTATCTTGGAGTGGCAGAAGGCTCAGCGAGCTCACCAGCGTTCTTGGTCGGAGACTATCTGAACTTCCAATCCGCGAACAGCGGTTGCTTTTTGGAAGTGGCAGCAGGTCATGCCATCGTGGACCCTGGAGCTTCGCAAGACCTCATTGGACTGCGAAGCTACGAGAAGCTTGAGAAGAGGCTGTATGAAGTTGGTCTGAGAACCATCAAGCTTGAGGAGTCCCCATCCAAGGCTTCCGGGGTCGGAGGAGACGCAAAGTCTCTCTTCATGGCCCTCTCACCTTGTGTTCTTGGCGGACAACCAGGTGTGATCAAGCTGACCGTAGTGGCCGATGACATCCCACAACTTTTGTCCATAGGACTGTTGGAATATGGGAAGGCCATCATCGACACCGGGAACAATCGCATTCGCTTTCAGGCTTTTGACACGGAGACCACCATGAAGCGCCTACCTTCGGGCCACCGCCTCGTAGACATTGCCGACTGGGACGGCAGTGATTTTCCAATCCCAGCCAAGTTGTCAGAGGAACTAGGACTTCCTCCTCGGGCCTTTAATGTGCCCTCGTCAGAGCGTCGAGCATACATGGCGGCGAGCCCTGAGTCGGTCGAACTGTTTCACTTTCTTGTTTTTGTAGGAGTGAGCATGAGTCAACTGAGTTTTGAATCGAGTGCGGCCATCTGTGATCCGTTGCTTGGGAATTTTTTCACGTTTCGAGAGTTCACTCAACAAGACACACAATTTCTCTTTCGCACGTCCTGGCTGGTGCATTGCAACACGTGCTGTTTGCTTGAGCTAAACGCGAAACGTGAGAGACCAAACGATGCTGAGTTTCAAAGAGATGTCTCGGAAGTCACTGACTGTCCTTTAGATTTCACTGAACGACACTGGTCCACTGCTAGGGTCATGTCACTTTTTTCCCAGCAGAGAGTGAGACTTGAGACCTCTCCTGAGCACGTGTTCACACTGCACCAAACCGATCGTCCCTCTGACGCCTCAAGAGACAGCGTGAGCGCGCTTCGCGATCAGCACCATAGAGCCCAATCTGAGAAAGTCTTGCATCATGGCGTCTGCGGGACTGATGACATCACGAGCAAAGAAGTGTTCGCTCCGAGGCCGATCGAGAGACTCTGGAAGAAAGATGTTGATTCTCTCTCGAGGACCAGGCTCCCTGGAAGCTCTCAACATGAGGGAGCTGCCCCTCGATGCGACGACGTCCAGGCCAGGACCAGCTGGCATGGGACCATACGAGACAGAGGACACCAGGAAGATTCCACGACCTTCAGAGTGCTCCCATCCCAAGGCCTACGAGGTCAAGGGTGCGAATCAACACGGAACTTGGACCAGATGCTCGATGTGTCAGACCAAGTTGACCTTTGTCCGCTACAGCAAGGACAATCCTCCTCCGGCTGCCCGCATGACCAAGTCAGCGATGGTGGAGACCTATGTGAGCAAGCCGGCACCTCGCACGCCGGGCGCTTCGAGCGGCTATCTACCTCCACCCATGATGACTTCGGAGACCTCACCGCCGCCAGATCTCATGCCGGACATCCAACGAGCGCTTCAGGGCCAGACACAGCAGCTGGCTCAGAGCACTGCTGCCGTGATGTCTCAAGTCATGTCTCCTGTCATCGAGGGATTTCACCAGGCTCTACGCTGTCAGGTGGAGGAACAGCAGAGAGCACAAGAGCGACAGGACGCCCAGATGCAGCAGCTGTTCTTGGCACAGCAACGCATCATGCAACAGAACGACATGACGAGGCAGCAGGGCGCCTGTTTCCCAGCTCTTTCCCCAGAAGAGATCCAGCGGCTGCTTGCGCAGGGCTTTGCCGACACGAGGCGCTACATGCAGCAGCAGGGGATCAACGAGGACGAGGACTGGGATGCCATTCCGGAGAGTCCTCCGGGTCAGAACTGAGGGATTGGGCAGCTCAGAGTTTCACCAGTCAGAATTCCACGTCAGACAGTAAGTGTATAGATTCCCACAGGAGCACGTGGTTGACTGTTCCTTTTTCTCAAGCATCTAGGAAGCTTGCCTCCTCGATCAACCCCGAATCTTGTTTTATTGCTGAGCAAGAGGTTAACGGAACTGTTCGTGAGGTGTTTCTTTTGGAAGTTTCTGACTTGTCGGATGAACTTGTCTGTCATGACTATCCTGAAGGTCGTGAGGCACAGCTGACTAGGAAACATAAGAGGTTACTGTTGAATTCACTCCAAGATTTTTCCGCCGAATTCGATTCTTTTGCTGATGAGAGTGTAGATGTGGTGACAAGAACAGATCAAGAGCCTGGGAGCCGACAAGAAAGGAAAGAAGAGCATGAAGGCCAACAAGAAAAGAAAGAAGATGGCTCGAGTCACGCAAAAATAGATGCGAGATCTGAGGGCCAAGAGCGTCATCGGTTCTGTGGAACTTCGGTGTCTGCAGAAATTTCCAAAGACTCTCGCTCGTCCGTCCGAACCGATCGCGTTCGACTACCTAGCTCGACAGAGCTTAGCGCCCAGGGTTTGAGCAACGTGCGAGCTTGTAGCCATGGATTTCTTTCCCAGAGCTTCAAGATCATGGAGGTTTTCTCTCCTCCTCGCGTGACCGAGATGGCGAAACAGCGAGGATTTCTCACCACAGAGCCACCCAACTTTGACCTCACCAACGGCTGGAACACTTTGCATTTTGAGGACCGACGGCAGCTTTGGAAGACACTGGAAGAGCAATCGCCCGATCTAGTCCTTCTGAGCCCAGACTGCCGACTTTTCAGCGTGTTGATGAATGTGAACCTCAAGAGAATTGCTGTCGAGAAGCTGACCAGAGAACAGATGGAGGCGCTGACTATGTGGCACCTCTGCATTCAGGTCGCTAGCTTTCAGCTCAGTCGAGGCAAGTTCTTCCTCATTGAACAGCCGGCCGGCGCCTCGTCATGGGCTACTCACACGGTTGCATGGCTGCTGAGACAAAAAGGAGTGCTTCGTTTTCTTTTTGACCAGTGTGAACTCGGACTGCAAGTGAGCGATCAGGGTCTCTCACGGAAGGCCACTGGAATCGTCACCAATCACACCGGAATTGCCTTCCTGCTTTCACAGTATCAGTGCACCAAGACACATCATCACGTACATCTTGAGAGTGGCCTTCCGAAGAAAGCGCAGACATACCCTAAAAACATGATACAGGTCATTCTCGACGGGCTGCGAATTGGTGCAAGTGACTTCATCGGAGTGCAGGTAGGGAGTCAGGAGCTTGTTGGCGAAGATTCAGACTCAGAAGTCCCAGTGCCACAGCCGAGAACTCCAGGCACCCTGAACAAGGACATGTCTCCTCTTCTGACCCCCGAGCAGAAGAAAAAGATACAGCTGATGCATCTGAACATGGGACATCTTCCCAAAGAACAGATGCTCTCCATGCTCAAGGCAGCCGGTGCCAAGGAGGGCGTCATGAAGTATGTGAAGGACTCCTTCAATTGTGAACACTGCATGAGACAAAGGAGGCCCATTGAGAGAAGACACGCAGCATTGCCACGGACATTCATGTTCAATAGAATAGTCGGTGTGGACTTCTTGTATCTCTCATTTGAGAACCGAACTCAAGCCTTCTTGAACGTGATCTGTCAGGGAACAAATTATCAACAAGTTGCCCATCTCAAGAACTACGAGGGAGGAGTTCCATCCTCTCAAGAGACTTGGCTTCTCTTTTGCAAGATGTGGATTCATCCCTTTGGAATTCCCGAGACTGTCGTCACCGACGGAGGATCAGAGTTCAAGCAGCAGTTCGAGAGGTCACTCGAACAATTTGGAGCCCTTCAGATCATCACCGATGCCGCCTCTCCATGGCAGAACTCGAAGGCCGAGAGACACGGAGGTTGGGTGAAAGAGAGAGCAGAGATGGAAGTGAATTCGGGTCAGACCATCCTCAGCAGCGTGGGTGAGCTTGAAGAACTCGTCATTTGTATGGTAGCCTGCAAGAACAGGTGGTTTTCTCGCGGGGGCTATAGTCCCTCCCAGCTTGTTTTTGGAATCAACCCCAGGGTGCCGACTGAGTTGCTCGACGATGACCCAATGCACGACCTGGGATGGAGAGAGATTGACACAGATCCCTATGACCAAGATACGGCAGCCTCAGCCTTCACCAAGGCTCACCATATTCGCCACAGGGCTCGGCAACTGTGCATTGAAGCAACCAGCCGGGACAAGATCAAGAGAAGTTCAAGTCAAAGAGCACACAAGCAAAGAGAGTGGGCTGTTGGTCAGTGGGTCTATGTGTGGCGTCGATTTCCTGGCACTGGCCAGGGACACCTGACCAGAGCCAGATGGACAGGTCCGGGCATTGTCGTACTTCAAGTCGGGCATACCGTCTGGGTATCCATGAGGGCAAGACTTTGGAAATGCAACTCAGACCAGCTCAGGCCGGCTTCTCATCATGAGTCGATCGGAGCAGATCTATCGCGCTCAGGAGAACTACAGGACTTGATCAGACAGGGCAGGTCTGCTAAAGCGGGTGCCGTAGACGTCACAGCAGAAGGAACCCCAGATGAAGAAGACACAACTTCCGATCCATCGCACGACCAGGTCGAGCCAATGGTCTCACCAGCAGCTGACGTGCCAGCGGCGATTCAACTGGAACCAACACCGTCCTCAGAAACACCCCCTGTGGAGACAACATCTCTCCTCAGGAACATCAGAGAGCCTCAAGCCGCAGTTCCCATCGAGGATGACAGATCAGCCCTGGAAGACACCTCAAGCATGTCAACCATCAAGGAAGGCAGGAAGAGACCGACTTCAGCAGACGAGACAACAGCAAGCAAGAAGAAGCAGACCGCTCCAGTAGGTCGAACTACATCGGCGTCAACCAGATCCAAGAGACAGATCTCTGAGACAGAACATCTTGAAAGAGTTGCCCTGAGGACCATGAAACGCATGGACAGAGAGGAGAAGATGAGAAGACTAAAAGAGACCTCCAGCGACTCAGCTGTCAACCCTCAGACAGCAGCAGCTTCGAGCGATTCTGTCAATGAGAGTGCGGTCCCCAACCAGCTGAAGGAGTTTCAGAACCAGTTCAAGGAAGAAGCTCCTCAGGACAAGAAAGACTTAGAGGAAGATGATGACCTCTTCGTCAACAGCAGTCAAGAGCCTCAACAGTTGCTGTCGTTCTTCGAGCTCAAAGCAGAGAATAAGGTGCTCATGGCTCGTCCCGCGAAGCCCAAGTCCCAAGAGTTCAACATGCACGAGGCTACACCAGCAGAGATGCGAGGCTTCAGGGAGGCCGATGCTGCAGAATGGAGAACGATTCTCGATCTGAACGCAGTCAAGATCCTTAGTCAGGAGGACTCAAGACGTGTGAGAAAGGAAACACCTCATCGAATTCTCCCATCAAGGTTCGTGCGCAGAAAGAAGCCTATGCCAGGAGTAGGACAGTGGAAGTTCAAGAGTCGCTGGTGTGTTCTGGGTCATTGTGATCCGGATAACGGCACCTACTCAACGTACTCTCCAATGCCCACTACTGAGAGCATTGCTGTTTTCTTTCAAATTTGTGCCAACCTGAAACTTTCCATCAGCTTCTGCGACGTCAAGCAAGCATTTTGCCAATCGGAACCACTCTGTCGACCACAAGGAGAGTTGTATGTTGAAGCCTGCCCAGGTCTCGACTTGCCAAAAGACACGGTGATACAATTGATAGCACCAGTGTATGGCTTAGAAGACGCCCCTATTCGTTGGCATCAGACAGTGATCAGCTACCTGGGAGAACTAGGGTTTCAAAGATCCCTGCTAGAACCATGCTGGTACTACAAGCGAGACAATAGAGGCGACATAGAAGCCATGATACTTGTGGAAGTCGACGACCTGAACGTCGCCGCTCGCTCAGACGTCAAAGAGTGGATCTTGAAAGAGCTTAGTGAACGTTTTTTGTTTGGCAAGATGGAGCATGATGAGGCTGATTTCGCTGGAAGACATGTCAAGGTCCTTCCTGACAGGATAGAGATGCACCAGGAGAAATACATTTTGGAGAAGATCCAGCCCGTGAAAATGACACCCGGCAGGAAAGCCGAGAAAGCCGATCAGCTGACCTCAGAGGAGTTTGAATTATTTCGATCCATGCTGTACAGAATAGCTTGGGTAACTCATCAAACACGACCAGAGGCAGCCGGAGTGGTTAGCATTCTTGCCTCCCGACTCAAGGAAGCCACCATTCATGACGTTTGCTGTTTGAACCGACTTGCAGCCCACTTGAGAAACACAGCGCAGCAGGTTCTCACCATTCACTCATTCAAGACCGAAGACATGGTTTTGATAGCAGCATCCGATGCCGGCGGTGTAGATAGTTTGCCACCATCGCCAGACAGTGCCATTGACAATGTACAAGGAGCATGGGTGATCATGGCAGCCGGACGCATGCCAAGCGCATCACAGAACACCAAGGTGAGCATTCTGAGCTGGCGGTCATCGAAACTTCGACGAAGAGTGGCATCGACCTTAGCAAGTGAAGCTCTAGCCTTTAGTCAGGCTCTCGCAGAAGTCGAGTGGGTGCAGATCATGATCAGAGATGTCATGTATGGCGATGTTCTTAGACGGGATTGGATGCAGTCACTGAACCCCTATGTTCCTGTTCTTAGGGAGAATTGTGAGTTGCATCAGAGGTTACAACAGTGTCATGTGACTGATGCGAAGAGCTTGTTTGATTCCCTTCAGAAGAAGAGTCCATCATCCCGTCAAGACAGGCGCACCTCCATAGAACTTAGCATCATCATTGAATCAATGGCTAAGTCTCGTAGCGCATTGCGCTGGGCACCTCACCCCAGAATGATAGCTGATTCTCTGACGAAGGACGATATTTCCAAGACCAACGGAGCGCTAGAGGATTTGCTCAGGACATCAAAGCTGTCGCTCTGGGACGAAGAACACGAACTGAGGATTCGTAAGGAATCTCCGACGGCCAAGAATAGGTCTCGGAAAGCCTCAGCCAGATATAGGGCCAAAGAGGAAATGAACAACGTGATGTTCACCGTTAGTCAGATCAACTTAAATTTGGGGGTGCTGTTTCATGTTTCCTCCATTTGATCTGACGTTGCGCCGATCCTCTCGAGCCGCAGTGATCGTCCCCTTTTGCATCGTGCACGCATGGCGGAAAAGACGGGCATCTTCGTTTCTTCTTAGGCGCCTTCGTTTTCGACACATTATAGAAATCGATCCTACAAAGCCGCATGTCGCTTTCTTCCAGCGGTACGTTTTGCCCCATTTGGCTTGGTCACAGAGTTCCATCCCTGGAAGTCCAAGATCAAGATCTTGTTAAAAGTTCTTAATTTGGTTTTGTAGTGTAAAATCCATAATAAAACACTACTTGTTCGAAAAGGCCATTTTCAGGAACGCACGGACTTCCCGTCGAACGCTCGTGACGGTGAATTCTCGGAATCACCCCCCAACACATTCCATGGGACTGGAACATATACCTTGCCCCTTGAAACCACCCCAATGTACAGTATGGCAAATCATGTGGCATACATGGAGCGTTTGGGACCATCAGGATGCCTTGGACCACTATGTGAATTGCTGCGGAGGACAAAAGGCGGTGGTTTTTGCAGGATGTCACGTGACGCGTTTGCCGACGCGTTTGGACAGGTGAGAGGTCTTTGTTGGTCCCATTTGGAGTCTCAAGGTATGTAAGTGGGTTGTGACCATTTGTGACATTGGCTTCAGTCCATACCCAGTGGTTCCCCTCGTCTGCATATAACTGACACCTCTGGGATACTGTATGTTTGACCCTCAGAGATCTATTACTCACATAGCAGACAGCCAACCACGACCTGTTCGACAGTTTTTAGATCATTTACGTTGCTGATCTCACTGGCGAGGCGCGGGCGGTGAGAATTTGCGACAAGAACAGCACAGATTCGGCGGGGTCCAGTCGTTTGGAAGATGAAGATGCGTGGCCTTCCAGGATCAGTGTCTCGATATATACTTTATTGAACTGTGTAATCCCAGCAGGTAGATAAAGCAATAATAAACGTAGCGTGAACAAGCCTATTCTTGGGGCAGGACGTTGGATTTGGATTGCATGCGGCACTCGCGAAACCTTTGTTCATGTAACAGGCTTTAACATGTTTACAAGTTCAACCTAGGTCCTACATTTATAATGCACGACTATTTTTAACTCATATTCAGATTTAAGGTTCCTTGTTTCCCTACGTTTCCGCGTGGCTTTTTCCTTCAATGTCCTGTTGTATTTGTCCTTCAATGTAGCAATCGTTGGTCTTGGCGATTGTTTCCTGAAGAACAAATGGCTTCACAACACTACTTGGAGTAAGCGTGGCCATGGTGATTGCCGGAGGATGTGGTACATAGCGCGGCCATGATGTTTTACACTTTTCCCGAGTGACTTTCCACGAGTTGGGTGACTTTCCACTATAACAGTAGTGTGCCTGTGCGACTGTGTGACTTTTTGTTGCGACCCTGGGTGACTCAACTCCAGAGTGGGAGTGGCAATATACTGTCTACCCGCACATACCTGAGACTTTTGTCGATTGTTGTTGAACTTATGGCTGTTGCATAGCGAGAATACGCAACATGAGTCTGTAGTGGCGAAGCTTGATTGATTGTATACCCCGGCCTTTAAGTGCAAATTTAGATCTAATTGGTCGAATCCTTGTGGACCAGGTTTGCCCGCTCCGCCACCTGTTCGCTGTTGATCAGCTCAAAGGATGTTCGAGCCAGGACCTTGGCTTCGTTTTTCTGAGACTGACCAGAGCTGGGCTGATGCAGCAAGCGCGTTTGGCAGAAAGCAACGGATACACCCACGGAAGCAGTGCAGCCAGCAAGGCCAAGGATGAGCTGCTGGAATGTCGTTTGGGCACTGCTGCCGTTCGCAGAATTCTTTCTCCGACCCCGGAGATAGCTGAGTAAGTCTTCAAACAACTCCACCGCTCGTTCCTCTTGAGGTTGTGGGATCTAAGCTGATCGACAAATGCCTGCGAATGCGCCTTTGATTCGCGTAGGGCTGCTGTTTGAGCTTGGTGAGCCAGCCCTTGTAGACGCCCAAACAAAATGGTCATCAGAAGGGAGGACCTGGCGCAAGCATCCGCCATGGCCGGTGAAAGCGGGATACAGCTGCTCACAGGGTGCACACCATGACTCATGGCCCGTGACATGTGTTCCCTGTCCAGTTTGCACTGGCATCGATGCCAAAATGTAGGCCTGTTAAGGGAGAAAATCCAACCTCCACCATCCTTTTTGGGGCCCTTTTCCGGCGTAATGTTTTCGCAACAACTCACAGTATTGCTGTACAATGAGCCAATAAATGGTATGCAATATAATGAGGGTGGCGACCTGACCTGTTGTCATTGTTGTCCATTCCCTTTGCGCAGGCTACGTATTCAGAACGCACAGCTTCAGCAACAATTTGTTTGTTTACTGTTGTTGGGGGTGCCGGAAACTATATAGTTTGTGTTGAAACTCCACACAGTTTGATTCAAAACATACGGACAGTTTGCAGCGAATTCGCAAATCGAAGAACAATGATCATTCCAAGGTGTTCGCTTGTGTTGCCTGCAATGCCCGTCCGCAGCAGACATCCATGCAGGCAGTGCGGCGGATTCTGATCGCCTCTAATGGCATGGCGGCCGCCAAGTCCATCATGTCCATGCGACAGTGGCGTGGAATTGCATTCGACGTGCGTTGTTTGAAAGGTCTACCAGGATGTGTATCATGTAGTCTAGTTATACACCTATTACTAATTACCACTATAACATGGTAGTCCATTGAATTATGATATCATAAGGATTGCAAACATTTGGCATCCAGTGGTGGGGACGCAACGCATTTCATTACATTTCAAATTTGCAGGGTTTTTGTTCATCGGGTCGCCGTCCACTAGTTACGCCGCAATTGGTTGGGTGTTCCAGGTGCTTGTGTAGCCTTATATTTTGTGCAATGTTACACACTCACACACCATTATCATATCCATTAATCATCCATGTATCGCTATGGCTAGTCTCAGATGACTTGGCCACCAAGCCACCAATGGCAAGTCTCGGAGATCATATTGGCACCAGTTTCCAAGGTTGCTGGCTGTTGGATGGCACATGCCGCTGGACGCCCCTGAATTTCGATCTTACAATTTCCATTTCCCAGATGTTATCGTTCGATAATATGGTTGGCAGGTGTTTGGTCGCACAATTGCTATCAGTTGGCAGGTGATGTTTGTTTGTTGGACTATTTTTTCTATGTTTCGCTATGCTTTGGAAAGACAGACGCGTGTGAACAAAAACATGCATACGCATGCTGTGCATGGAAGAAAAATGCGATACTCTAAATCATGGAAGAAAGGCAACTGCCACTTAATTACTATAATTGCTTCTTGCCCTGAGCTTGACCGAGCTTGACACCTTGTTTTTCAACGCACCCACCGACCATTGAACAATGGTGCGAACAAAAGTACCTGGACACTGTACAACTCCAGCGAATTCTGGCTGCAACAAAAGCAGAAGTGTCCAAGGAACTGGTGATGTAGAACTGGGGTCAGCCTGGTGCTCTCGAGACGCTGTTTCCTGTCTCCCTCACCGGTCTGGGAGGTTTTGTTCTGCGCGATGGTGCCGTCGACGCCCTAAGGGTTGGGTGCCGAGGTGCCTTTGAACACCGGTGGAGGTGGTTTGCCGTACCCATTTGAGTAAGCACCATTTGAGCTATACGTAGCAGTAAGCCCAAACTCCTGGCACCAGCCCCCGTGGCATACGTGGCCGGCTGCGGCAGAGTCCGGAATGACATGGGGTGAAGCATTGGACTGATCCACATGATCCGCACGATCCAAGGTGGGCGCACATGGAGGCGCGCTCGCTGAGGAGTCACGGTGGAAGAACGGTGCGGTTTCTTTTTAGGAGAGAGGCGTCCTGAAAATGGCTTGGTACCTTGGAGCTGCATCGCAGGTTTTGGGTGGTGAAATGTATACTATGGTAAAGTGGGGTGTTCTGGTAGGACACCTCCAGTTTCACAACATGTTTTTTGCATGACATGTTGCTCAGTTGTTTGCGTTGGAGGAGTTATGTGCCTTGGTGACACCTCCAGTTTATTTGCTTTCGATATTTTGCTACCTTACCTATACTTGTCTCATCTTGTCTCATTCAGGCGCGAAGTGATGTCCAGAGTTGAAGAGAACGTCCAACGGTCGCAGGTCGTCTGACGGTGATTCGGACGTCGACGGAGCGACTCCGATTCCCTGCTGCGAAGCCGAAATGTTGCCGTGGAAATGTTGCCGTGGACCGATGGTCTGGCTAGGTCTTGGATCGATGTTCTGGCCGTAGACGGATTGAAGAAACTACGCTGCGGGTTTCCCCAACCCCGCGCCAGGCTGGGTTGGGTTCCAGTGGCATCCTGGAATTCATCTCCATGGCAACCAAAGATGATTTGGCATCTGAGTTGCAGTGGCCTTTGGTATCCTTTTGCCAAGCTGTTTTGGTTCTTTCTGCCAGGAGTAGAGGAATGTTTCTTGAAAATCTGACTCGAGTTACGCCCCAGAAGGCCCAACTGGTGTAGGTTTATCACGAAAGCTAGCGAAGCTAGCTGGAGTTACTCTTGCGATAGCAAGGTTTCTTTCGACCGGGTGCAAATCCTAACCCCTGATTTTTCAGGTCGAAGACCCCCCCCCCCCCCCCCCCCCCCCCCCCCCCCCCCCCCCCCCCCCC